TGTCCCCCACCCGATTGATTGGCTTGGTCCTGCTTTCGTTTCGTGTTTCCCTTCCCTTCCCTTCGCTATATGCCTTGCTTCCATCTATTTCTAGGAAAAATACAAAAAAAAAACACACAGGAATACTACCCCTTCGAGATATAACCACATCAATTCTGGTGAAAACTACCTTTTCCTCTCTCGCGTGTTTACCTGAATGTTGATCGGACCACAGGACGGTGTTGAGCTCATATCCGAAAAGAGTCATGCTGTTGTTGTTCTCGAAGAAGTGTCCGCTGTTTTCGATTAACTCACATCTGCCCCTGCACCCCCCCCGTTTGCCCCTGCTTCCCGTGCGATGTTCCGTACCAATACCCGACGACCCCTCTCTTTTCCCCATCGCCCTAACGCGACCCAGTCTGGGTCGGCGTGGTAAACCCGTGGCCTTGGCTCAGGGTGCCGCGGTCGTACTACAAGACGGTGCGCGACGCGTGGTGCATCGAGCGCATGCACCAGGCGTTTAAGAAGGGTCTCATGCAGTACGGCATGATCAAGGGCGTCAAGAAGAAGAAGGAGGGCCCGCCACCGCCGCCGCCGCGGTCTCCGGAAGGGTCGACCACCCCACCAACGCCGGTCATCGTCCCGTAGTTCCGTGCCACACGGTGCAAGAGGTAGTGGTTTTGTTAGGTTGCGGGATAACGTCGTCCACCTTAGGGACGGCGGCCGTGTCTTCAGTCGATTTTTGGAAAGCGTTATGAAAGCCGGCCGGCTTTTGTGGTTAGGGAGCAACGAGATGCGCCCTTCCTGTCGCGTCGGGTTTAGGGGGGATGAGCGATGTTGGCCAAGGCGTTCGAGTGGGACAGGTGTCGACCCCACTCGATGATTGTGAGAAAATCGCGTGTTTGGGGTGAAGAACTGTTGTTCGTTCCCTTCGCGGTGCGGAGTTGTGCGAGCATTATTTTTTTTATTTCCCACAAGGGGGAGACGTTGATAAACCAGCGCGGATTCGGAAGCCTTGTCGAGTAGGCTAGGCCAACGCTGGGGTGAAAGTGGGGTCTTGGGGGCTTGTACGGTCCTCTTGTCGACTTTCGTCATTTTGGGAAGAACCTCCACACGAAATAGATGAAGGAAACATGTGAATTTTCGCGGATCGAGGGGACGGTTGAAACAGGACTGCTCTGCCGTCGGCATCCAGTGGGATCGAACAAACAACTGGTGTATTATGACATCGACGATAATCGACGGCGGGCTGTTTGCAACGTGTGTCGCCGATAAATACACATGTTGTTTTGTAGTTTTCATGTTTATCCTCGTGTTTTGCATGTTTCTCTCTTCGTCTTTTTTCATCCGCATGCAGCGTGAGATTGACGACAAGCAACGCATGCAATCCGCGGTGGCGACCATCTCCAGGCAAAGTGACGCAGTTAGACAAATGATCAGCTTTTGGCCGTGCCGTCGATGTGGCTGTGATCCCACACTTCTACGTTTGCACCTGCGTGGGCTGGCAGCCCCCACATGTGTTGTGTGTGTGTTTTCGTCCTATTTATTATGGCGACAGTCCCCCCATTTTTCGTGGCGAGACGTGTACTACACTTTTCAGGTGTATTTTTTTGTACAACTACAACCATCCAGGGTCACACAGGAGGGGGTACCACATATACCAAGGTCAAGGTTTTCGCACGGACTTTGACTTGAGGGGTAGCAGGAGGAGCCTCCACTTGAACTACAGATAGCGCCCGCAGTTAAGAAAAATGCTGTTCAGAAAAAAAAGGCTCAAGTTTTACGAAAAACATGAAAAAAAGGGCTAAGAAACACAGCTCAATCTCAGCCACAACGTAAGGAACGCCCCAATTAGAAACATGACGGTGGGATACCCCCATGACACCAGAAATCCTCGGTGCCCCCACCCTCCTACCTAGCTGAACAGAAGTGAATAATTTTTGTACGGGGCAGAGTGGTTTTTTTCTACGCGCCCCCCCCCC